ACGTTGCTGACGTCATATCTATCAACTCACTTCAGTCGACCAAACGTTGCTGACGTCATATCTATCAACTCACTTCAGTCGACCAAACGTTGCTGACGTCATATCTATCAACTCACTTCAGTCGACCAAACGTTGCTGACGTCATATCTATCAACTCACTTCAGTCGACCAAACGTTGCTGACGTCATATCTATCAACTCACTTCAGTCGTCCAAACGTTGCTGACATCACATCTATCAACTCACCTCAACCGACCAAACGTTGCTGACGTCATATCTATCAACTCACCTCAGTCGACCAAACGTTGCTGACGTCATATCTATCAACTCACCTCAACCGACCAAACGTTGCTGACGTCATATCTATCAACTTACCTCAACCGACCAAACGTTGCTGACGTCATATCTATCAACTCACCTCAGTCGACCAAAGGTTGCTGACGTCATATCTATCAACTCACCTCAACCGACCAAACGTTGCTGACGTCATATCTATCAACTCACCTCAACCGACCAAACGTTGCTGACGTCATATCTATCAACTCACCTCAGTCGACCAAACGTTGCTGACGTCATATCTATCAACTCACCTCAGTCGACCAAACGTTGCTGACGTCATATCTATCAACTCACCTCAACCGACCAAACGTTGCTGACGTCATATCTATCAACTCACCTAAACCGACCAAACGTTGCTGACGTCATATCTATCAACTCACCTCAGTCGACCAAACGTTGCTGACGTCATATCTATCAACTCACCTCAGTCGAGCATCAGACCACCCCAGCAACATGTTGGACTAATGACACAAATCATTTCAAAAGTTTTCTCCAATACAATCCAGTTTGAATTATCAAACCGACAATTTCATTACCTGACCCCCCCCCCCCCCCTGAGGACGATTGACTTAATGTTGGGCCCCTGGGCTGCGCTTGCTAACGTCATCAAGAAAATTTGTTTGGATAATTCCCGTCCCACGTCCTAAATGACGTTAGTCCACCGCCTGCGGTCCACTACAACAACTGGTCCACTACAACAACTGGTCCACTACAACAACTGGTCCACTACAACAACTGGTCCACTACAACAACTGGTCCAACAACTGGTCCACTACAACAACTGGTCCACTACAACAACTGGTCCACTACAACAACTGGTCCACTACAACAACTGGTCCACTACAACAACTGGTCCACTACAACAACTGGTCCACTACAACAACTGGTCCACTACAACAACTGGTCCAATACAACAACTGGTCCACTACAACAACTGGTCCACTACAACAACTGGTCCACTACAACAACTGGTCCAATACAACAACTGGTCCACTACAACAACTGGTCCACTACAACAACTGGTCCAACAACTGGTCCACTACAACAACTGGTCCACTACAACAACTGGTCCACTACAACAACTGGTCCAACAACTGGTCCACTACAACAACTGGTCCACTACAACAACTGGTCCACTACATCAACTGGTCCACTACAACAACTGATCCACTACAACAACTGGTCCACTACAACAACTGGTCCACTACAACAACTGGTCCAACAACTGGTCCACTACAACAACTGGTCCAACAACTGGTCCACTACAACAACTGGTCCACTACAACAACTGGTCCAACAACTGGTCCACTACAACAACTGGTCCACTACAACAACTGGTCCACTACAACAACTGGTCCACTACAACAACTGGTCCACTACAACAACTGGTCCACTACAACAACTGGTCCAACAACTGGTCCACTACAACAACTGGTCCACTACAACAACTGGTCCACTACAACAACTGGTCCAACAACTGGTCCACTACAACAACTGGTCCACTACAACAACTGGTCCAACAACTGGTCCACTACAACAACTGGTCCACTACAACAACTGGTCCACTACAACAACTGGTCCACTACAACAACTGGTCCACTACAACAACTGGTCCACTACAACAACTGGTCCACTACAACAACTGGTCCACTACAACAACTGGTCCACTACAACAACTGGTCCACTACAACAACTGGTCCACTACAACAACTGGTCCACTACAACAACTGGTCCACTACAACAACTGGTCCAACAACTGGTCCACTACAACAACTGGTCCAACAACTGGTCCACTACAACAACTGGTCCACTACAACAACTGGTCCACTACAACAACTGGTCCACTACAACAACTGGTCCACTACAACAACTGGTCCAACAACTGGTCCAACAACTGGTCCACTACAACAACTGGTCCAACAACTGGTCCAACAACTGGTCCACTACAACAACTGGTCCACTACAACAACTGGTCCACTACAACAACTGGTCCAACAACTGGTCCACTACAACAACTGGTCCACTACAACAACTGGTCCACTACAACAACTGGTCCACTACAACAACTGGTCCACTACAACAACTGGTCCACTACAACAACTGGTCCTCTACAACAACTGGTCCACTACAACAACTGGTCCACTACAACAACTGGTCCACTACAACAACTGGTCCAATACAACAAATGGTCCACTACAACAACTGGTCCACTACAACAACTGGTCCAACAACTGGTCCACTACAACAACTGGTCCAACAACTGGTCCACTACAACAACTGGTCCACTACAACAACTGGTCCACTACAACAACTGGTCCACTACAACAACTGGTCCACTACAACAACTGGTCCACTACAACAACTGGTCCACTACAACAACTGGTCCACTACAACAACTGGTCCACTACAACAACTGGTCCAACAATTGGTCCACTACAACAACTGGTCCACTACAACAACTGGTCCACTACAACAACTGGTCCTCTACAACAACTGGTCCACTACAACAACTGGTCCACTACAACAACTGGTCCACTACAACAACTGGTCCAATACAACAACTGGTCCACTACAACAACTGGTCCACTACAACAACTGGTCCAACAACTGGTCCACTACAACAACTGGTCCAACAACTGGTCCACTACAACAACTGGTCCACTACAACAACTGGTCCACTACAACAACTGGTCCACTACAACAACTGGTCCACTACAACAACTGGTCCACTACAACAACTGGTCCACTACAACAACTGGTCCACTACAACAACTGGTCCAACAACTGGTCCACTACAACAACTGGTCCAACAACTGGTCCACTACAACAACTGGTCCACTACAACAACTGGTCCACTACAACAACTGGTCCACTACAACAACTGGTCCACTACAACAACTGGTCCAACAACTGGTCCACTACAACAACTGGTCCAACAACTGGTCCACTACAACAACTGGTCCACTACAACAACTGGTCCACTACAACAACTGGTCCACTACAACAACTGGTCCACTACAACAACTGGTCCACTACAACAACTGGTCCACTACAACAACTGGTCCACTACAACAACTGGTCCACTACAACAACTGGTCCAACAACTGGTCCACTACAACAACTGGTCCAACAACTGGTCCACTACAACAACTGGTCCACTACAACAACTGGTCCACTACAACAACTGGTCCAACAACTGGTCCACTACAACAACTGGTCCAACAACTGGTCCACTACAACAACTGGTCCACTACAACAACTGGTCCACTACAACACCAGCTCCTACGGTCATGCTACGAAAAGTCCCAGTAAAAACAAAAGATCAGACGGATGAGGGTCTTGTTCGACCGGAAACTTCTTTTTCCACTGAAACGTCTAATAACTAACGCTACTCAAAGTTTCACTGGTTACCTACAGCTCACCGTATAAGGAAATAAACCGGGAGTGATCTCCCTTAAACTTTCTCGAATATTCTTATACAACACTACGGGGGATGGCAACTCGGGATATAGACGTGGTTTTTTTAATCAGTTTAATTATTTAAACTTTTAAAACTAATATATAATCTCGTAGAAAAAAAAAATTGTGCACCAAGTGAACAGAAAACAATGTGTTTAAAATAGTGCGGAATATTCATATGCGTTTTTAGAGAAATCGGAAATAGCGTAAAGCACTTCTTCTGTTCCAGGCATCTCTTCGAACTAAATGAAATTTATATAGAAAATATATACTTTTAACAGTGTCCGCCCTCCCCCCGAAGAAAGCCTACCGCCCCCCCCCCCCCCCGAAAATTTCAAGTGCCCCCCGGAGAAAATAGTCTTGAAGAAACACTTGTTAAAAGGAACTTACAATTTGATAGAAGGCAGAAAATTAGATATTTTACTTGTATGTGAAACAGACTCAAGTTATACGCTGTTGAAAAACCGAAAGTAGAATAAGCTCCACTTCCGGTTACCAAAATCGCTAAGAAATTGAAACAGAACTACAAATTTGATGTAATACTTATCTGAAAATTTATAAACCTAGCTATACCGGTACTCAAGTTATCGTGTTCTAAGACACACATCCAGAGTTTCTTCCAGGCATCTCTTCGGGGGGGCTAAGCCCCCCCGAAAAATTTTTACCGCCCCCCCGAACGAAATGAAATTTATATAATTTATATAGAAAATATATACTTTTAACAGTGTCCGCCCCCCCGAAGAAAGTTTACCGCCCCCCCCCCCCCCCCCCCCGAAGATTTCAAGTGCCCCCCCGGAGAAAAAAGTCTGGAAGAAACACTGCACACATCCAACCAGGCACGCACAGACATACACATCCACACAGACACACACAGACATACGGACAAAATTCCAAAACTATGTTTTTTTCCGACTCAGGGAGGTGCAAAGAGTTGAGATTTGTGAAAATATCGGTTTCGATTATTTTGTACTATTACTATACTTCGTATACAAGAAAGTAAAAACGGACACCTAAACTGGAGCCAAATAAATTATTACACAGTTAAATAGTTGAAAATGTGAAACCTTGTAACCACTTTGTTAAAATATATGTAAGGAACTGATTTGGTTGAATGCTAATTTCTCACCCACTGATTCAGATCTAATTAATATTTTTACACTGATATTTTCCGTCTCTGGACAAATTTATCGCATTTTTTTCCAGGTACCGAGAACAGATCCAGGTCTAAAAGAATGTTTGGTAAGTCATTGTTGATTGTCACGTTAGTTGTTGTCACATTAGCACTTGCCACGTTCACTGTTGTCACGTTAGATATTGTCACGTTAGATATTGTCACGTTAGCTGATGTCACCTTAGTTCTTGTCACGTTAGATATTGTCACGTTAGATATTGTCACGTTAGATATTGTCACGTTAGCTGATGTCACCTTAGTTCTTGTCACGTTAGATATTGTCACGTTAGATATCGTCACGTTAACACTTGTCACGTTAGCTGTTGTCACGTTAGCACTTGTCACGTTCACTGTTCTCACGTTAGCTGTTGTCGCGTTAGCTGTTATATACTGTCACGTTCGCTGTAGTTGCATTAAATGTTGTCACGTTAGTTGTTGTTACGTTAGCTGTTGTCACGTTAGCTGTTGTCACGTTAGCTGTTGTCACGTTAGCTGTTGTCACGTTAGCTGTTGTCACGTTAGCTGTTGTCACGTTAGCTGTTGTCACGTTAGCTGTTGTCGCGTTTTATACTGTCACGTTAGCTGCTGTCACGTTAACTGTTGTCACGTTAACTGTTGTCACGCTCGTTATTGCCAGAACGTACCACTCAACGTCAATACAGCAATGACCAATCAACCGACGGCGTCATATCTTATGACCTATAGAACAGCATACATTAGCAGGTCAAACATCATTTCTCATGACCTATAAAACAGCATACATTAGCAGGTCAGACATCATTTCTCATGACCTATAGAACAGCATACATTAGCATGTCAGACATCATTTCTCATGACCTATAGAACAGCATACATTAGCATGTCAGACATCATTTCTCATGACCTATAGAACAGCATACATTAGCAGGTCAGACATCATTTCTCATGACCTATAAAACAGCATACATTAGCAGGTCAGACATCATTTCTCATGACCTATAAAACAGCATACATTAGCAGGTCAGACATCTTTTCTCATGACCTATAGAACAGCATACATTAGCAGGTCAGACATCATTTCTCATGACCTATAGAACAGCATAAATTAGCAGGTCAGACATCATTTCTCATGACCTATAGAACAGCATACATTAGCAGGTCAGACATCATTTCTCATGACCTATAAAACAGCATACATTAGCAGGTCAGACATCATTTCACATGACCTATAAAACAGCATACATTAGCATGTCAGACATCATTTCTCATGACCTATAGAACAGCATACATTAGCCGGTCAAATATGCTCGCTAGCCGCCAGAACTTGATGATTTGACCGATATTTTTTGGGGGCAAATATGCTGCTTGTAGCGCATAGACACCAACTAAAACTCAAAATATCCGAAAAGCTCTTGTGCGAAGTGATTGTGTCGAGTGATTGTGTCGAGTGATTGTGTTAAGCGATTGTGTTACATGGGTCTGGCGGAGCTTCACGTTAAGCAAACAGGTCAATCCATCAATGCCGTCAGACGTTGTAGCGTGACGCGTGCTGGATACAAAGCTCGTCATACATGCCTTGACGGACACTGGAGCAGCGATTGCATGGGCGATAACAGATCCGTTGTGTGTGAGTGCGTGTGTGTGTGTGTGTGTGTGCGTGTGTGTGCGTGTATGGGCGTGTGTGAGTGTGAGGGTTATTTAAAATGCGGCCACTTACCGCTGCTGCACCAATCAAAGAAAACGGGAAGAGCATGAAGTGGCCCCGGTGGGGAGGGGACGGGGTGGGGGAGGGGACGGGGACGGGGTGGGGAGGGGACGGGGTGGGAAGGGGACGGGGTGGGGAAGGAATGGGGGTGGGGATGCGAAAATTTAAAAATAAAAACTTTACAATAGCAAGCTTTTGTTATGCACTAACAATCAGACAAAAAGAAAAATAATTTTCTTTAAATCTATTTTCTATCTAGATCTATATAAAAAACAAAGTATGTCTGCGTGTCCGGTACGAAAACCGTAGGCCTGAACGGATCGGGTACATTTTTGCCACACTGGTACATTTTGCCACACTGGTACATTTTTGCCACACTGGTACATTTTTGCCACCCTGGTACATTTTTGCCACACTGGTACATTTTGCCACACTGGTACATTTTGCCACACTGGTACATTTTTGCCACCCTGGTACATTTTTGCCACACTGGTACATTTTGCCACACTGGTACATTTTTGCCACCCTGGTACATTTTTGCCACACTGGTACATTTTGCCACACTGGTACATTTTGCCACACTGGTACATTTTTGCCACTCTGGTACATTTTTGCCACACTGGTACATTTTGCCACACTGGTACATTTTTGCCACCCTGGTACATTTTTGCCACACTGGTACATTTTGCCACACTGGTACATTTTGCCACACTGGTACATTTTTGCCACACTGGTACATTTTTGCCACCCTGGTACATTTTTGCCACACTGGTACATTTTGCCACACTGGTACATTTTTGCCACCCTGGTACATTTTGCCACACTGGTACATTTTGCCACACTGGTACATTTTTGCCACCCTGGTACATTTTTGCCACACTGGTACATTTTGCCACCCTGGTACATTTTTGCCACCCTGGTACATTTTTGCCACACTGGTACATTTTTGCCACCCTGGTACATTTTTGCCACACTGGTACATTTTGCCACCCTGGTACATAATAACACTGGGAGTGTTTGCTCGCACTTTCTGGCTAGATCTGATGCTATTTTTAATTGTTTTCAATTTTTATAATATTTCTATAGGCCATATAGGTGACCTAATTTCCGCCATTATATTTGGCATTTGCGAGGTACGTTCAGCACCGGTGTGATACATTATCCTCGGAACTGTCTAGAAAGGGTGTTTACATGTACTATTTTAGTATTTATCCTTCTTAAACGAAAATCAGGATAACGATATTAAATAATAAGATAATTATAACTTGACACGTTTCTAATGGAATTTAAAAACGATTTGATGTTAATGTTGGGTTTAGGGCTTCAATAGTTTTATTGTTATGGCAGACCATTTGGTTGATGTTGAAGTGAGGGTTGGTTTGAGTGTATGCTCATGCTTGTAGTTGTGTTTATGTTTGTGGCTGAGGGTGTGGTCAGGGTTGGTTTATGTTTATGTTTTTGTTATGTTAATGTTCTTGTTTGCGACTGTGGGGAGAGTTGGTTTTAATGTTGTTTTTATGGTTGTGTTTATGTGGTTGTTTTTTAGACGTAGAAGTGCGAGGAAGGGAGGGGGTTTATGTCCGTTTACATTTATGTTTGCGGTTGGTTGTAGTTAGTGTTAGGTTTAGAGTTGGGTTAAGGGTTATATATATTTTCTCAAATGTCGTTATTTACATACAGACATTAATAGGACAGCACCGGGTATATGCTGCTTTATAAACACACAAGCCACGGTCCTTTACAGATACGTTTCTCACAAAAGCCAGTGCAAAGCCTGGCCGGGACGGCTAGTATATACTAAAATACACCGTGGGTCTCGATATTATGTTGGCTGACACTACGACTTACACCCCCCCACACACACACCACGACTCCTCCACTGTCGTCGTCCCCCCCCCCCCCACACACACACCACGACTCCCCCACTGATTCATGACAGCCAGACCTGATGAGTTTAAAAAATGCTGGCACTCAGTAATCAATGGATAGCATCAAAGTAAACCCCCTCCCCCACCCTGTTTGCCCCGTCCCTTCCCCACCTTAAACTCGTCACCCCCCCCCCCCCCCTTGTCTTGACATTTCGCTCGCGCTCCACGTTCATACACAATGAGGTCTCGACCAATCAAAGCCGGCAACTCTAGATGGTCGTGCAAGTAGTACCGGCTGACATTTAGCCGGCTGCCGGAGCGATAGTTTGATTCCTCTTCTCATTTAGCCGGCTGCCGGGGCGATACTTTTATTCCTCTTCTCATTTAGCCGGCTGACGGAGCGATACTTTGATTCCTCTTCTCATTTAGCCGGCTGACGGAGCGATACTTTGATTCCTCTTCTCATTTAGCCGGCTGCCGGGGCGATACTTTTATTCCTCTTCTCATTTAGCCGGCTGACGGAGCGATACTTTGATTCCTCTTCTCATTTAGCCGGCTGACGGAGTGATACTTTGATTCCTCTTCTCATTTAGTCGGCTGACGGAGCGATACTTAAACTCATTGTCTAGTTTAGTTCACGATATCATGTATCATACATAATAAATATGCCTTTCTCCTTTTTTTACTTTCTCGTATACGGTATAGAGAGGAAATATTGTAACCATACACATATTCATAAAAACGTTTTAATAACAAGTTTTTATGTAATAATGCACTAAAAAGTAGAAAATAAATTATAGACTACTATTTAAATAACTATAAAGAAAAGCGTGGATCACTTTATTGAATACCTTTACTAATATTCAGGAAGAGACCCACACTTTACTTTGTAGTTATTAAAATAGTAGTGTATAATTTATTTTCTACTTTTTCGTGCATTATTACATAAAAGCTTGTTATTAAAACGTTGTTTTTTTTATGAATTTTTTTTTCAGTACTTTAAATTTTTACATTCTCGTGTATACAGAACTAGCTGCATCCCGTGCTCCGCCACGGTAAATCTTTTTTAAATGTACCAACTTGGGAACAGAACAAAACTAAACACAACACAAACGAACGCAAAAAAAACAACGAAAAAACAAACACAACACTCATAACATAAACACAATTTAAATGCAATCATAAAGGCAAATTGCTCACAGTCTAGCCCGTAGCGCCAAATCGCGCCCTTTCCGGTGATTTGCAACCCCCTCAAACTTTCGATTTGCACCCCTTCCACCCCCCGCCCTAAAACTTTCGATTTCCACCCCCCCCCCTCGCAATTTTTTTCCAACCCACTTTGGCGCCCCTTAAGGTCGGCACCCGGGGACATATGCCCCCCCCCCCCCTCGCTACGCCTCTCCTATAAAACCCGAAAGATAGAATAATAATTAGAAAACAGTATAAATAATAGGCAGTATTTAAAATATCCGTGTTTTACCTACAATATTTCACTTTATCCATTCACGCATTTTTTTCCAGTACTTTAAATTTAAAAAAATTACAATAGAGTTTCATAACTAAAACCATTGCGCACCTAATGAACGTGATGAGGCGTCTATAATAGAGCTGAATAGTTGATTAAAAATTATAAGTAATAAACAGTAGGGCCTACATTCAGTGAATAAAATAAATAAAAGATTGCCTTTTATCAATCCATGCTAATTATAATTTTCTAACAATAATTTCCTCTTACACATCCGAATAATTTGCATTCACATTTTGCTAATTATATTATTGCAACACTAATTCCTTCTATGACGAACGTATATTTGCATTTACATTTTTTATTAGCGTGAGTTTAATGTATTTTTAAATTACCTCCTTTGTCAAAATTAGAAAAGAGTTAAATTAATTTGATTTTTCTACCGTACTGTTATTATCTTATTAAAATGTATCCACTTTTTCTGGGAACCTAAACGAAAATGATATTTGACATTAATCTTTTTAATACGTTTTAGCAGTTTGCGTGTATTTAATATTTTCTTGACGTTATGCGAAAGAGTAAAAACCGTGGCAATTATAAAATAGCTCTATGCCGCTATATAAACAAACCCTACTCTAATACTTATAATAAGACACTGCGGTGCACTGAAAAGCACAGCATGGTGCGAATGTTTACTTTTATGGTTCCAAAATCTATAGCGATGACGGAAGGAAGGAAGGAAGGAAGGAAGGACTGACACACTACCAGCAGCGTTATATTATAGACTAGCTGCATCCCGTGCTCCGCCACGGTAAATCTTTTTAAAATGTACCAACTTGGGAACAGAACAAAACTAAACACAACACGAACGAACGCAAAAAAAACAAAAAAAAAAACGAAAAAACAAACAACACTCATAACATAAACACAATTTAAATGCAATCATAAAGGCTTATTGCTCACAGTCTAGCCCGTAGCGCCAAATCGCGCCCTTTCCGGTGATTTGCACCCCCCTCAAACTTTCGATTTGCACCCCTTCCCCCCCCCCCCCCCCCTTCCTAAAACTTTCGATTTCAACCCCCCCCCCTCGCACATTTTTTCCAACCCACTTTGGCGCCCCCTAAGGTCGGCACCCGGGGACATATGCCCCCCCCCCCTAGCTACGCCTCTCCTATAAAACCCGAAAGATAGAATAATAATTAGAAAACAGTATAAATAATAGGCAGTATCTATAATATATACAATATTTCACTTTATCCATTCACGCATTTTTTTTCCAGTACTTTAAATTTTAAAAATTTACAATAGAGTTTCATAACTAAAACCATTGCGCACCTAATGAACGTGATGACGCGTCTATAATAGTGCTGAATAGTTGATTAAAAATTATAAGTAATAAACAGTAGGGCCTACATTCAGTGAATAAAATAAATAAAAGATTGCCTTGTATCAATCCATGCTAATTATAATTTTCTAACAACAATTTCCTCTTACACATCCACATAATTTGCATTCACATTTTGCTAATTATATTATTGCAACACTAATTCCTTCTATGACGAACGTATATTTGCATTCACATTTTTTATTAGCGTGAGTTTAATGTATTTTTAAATTACCTCCTTTGTCAAAATTAGAAAAGAGTTAAATTCATTTGATTTTTCTAGCCTACAGTTATTATGTTATTAAAATGTATCCACTTTTTCTAGGAATATTAACGAAAACTATATTTGACATTGATCCTTTTAATATGTTTTAGCAATGTGCGTGTATTTAATATTCTCTTTACGTTATGCAAAATTGTAAAAACAGTGGAAATTATAAAATAGCTCTATGCCGCTATATAAACAATCCCTACTCTATTACTTATAATAAGACACTGCGGTGCACTGAAAAGCACAGCATGGTGCGATGTTTACTTTTATAGTCCCAAAATCTATAGCGATGACGGAAGGAAGGAAGGAAGGAAGGACTGACACACTACCAGCAGCGTTATATTATAGATTGTATACAGAATATAGAGAAAGTATTGTAATCGTGCAAAAAAAAATATATAAAAAATCACATGAAATTTTGAGTTTTCACCGCTTTACACATCAGTACTTCATCATATACGGAGTATAGGGTACTTATTTTAATCGGGCAAAAATTATACATCCAGATTTATCACAATTTTGGCGTTTTATACTGTACAATCCTATTCTGTCCGTGTGTGTGTGTGTGTGCGTGTGTGTTTGTAAACACGATAACGTGAGTACCGTTACAGCTAGGTTGATGAAATGTCATATATAAGTATTATATCAAATATGTAGATCTGTATCAACTTTTCAGTGATTTCCGATAACTGATTTGCGCACCAAAATGAATGTAAACAAGGTGTACACAATTAAGAGGAATATTAGTAGGTCTACTTTGTAAATGATACACATAATTAAGTCCCATTTTATTTCACAGTTCATTGTCATTGAGTCTTTACCTACGTGAAAAGTTTGAGACACATCGGTCCAGTAGAAATTATAGTTTTTTGAGAATTCGGAAACATCGTAAAATACTACAGCCGGTCTCCGAAAACCACTCAAAATTTGAAAGCGGCAAGATAATAAGATCTTATACTTATGTATAAGCTTTATTTGACCTAAGTGAAACGGTGCTTACATTATAATTATATTAGACTAGAATGGATGGCATAATGGGGATTGTGTTGTGGGCTGTCGCCGACCGACCGTTTCCGAATGGGAAACTGGGTCGTCTAGTCATGTAATAATGTGATACTTTTCTGCTCAATTAGGCACACATAGTTTGCAGTCATTTTGGTGCAAAATTATTTTTTACACTCGATTTTACGCTTTTAAAAATATTTAAGAATAAAAAATTAATTAAAAAAAAAAAACATTTGTTGCACGAATGCAATGAAAGCTTCCTCCCCCTTACTCAACTGTTACATAAAAATATAAGAGGTTTAGGTCAGGTCACTCTCGCTTTATTTATTTACTTTTCTATAGCTCGACGCGAAAAATATTGCCTACTGTCTAGCCAAGTTAAAGAAATGTCAAAACATCCATAATTAAAAGAAATGTCAAAACATCCATAATTAAAGATTGAGGCAAACAGATACGAATGAGCTGAGCACAGATCTAGATTCTATATATTTTAAGTAGAGGGCAGATCTAAACAAGTAGATCTAGATCTAGTTCTAGATCTAAACAAGTAGATCTAGATCTAAACTTTAGTCTCAACACGTAGATTTAAACACGTAGATCTAGATCTAAAAAAAAAAGTAGTTCTAGATCTAAACAAGTAGATCTAGATCTAAACTTTAGTCTCAACACGTAGATTTAAACACGTAGATCTAGATCTAAAAAAAAAAAGTAGTTATAGATCTAAACAAGTAGATCTAGATCTAAACTTTAGTCTCAACACGTAGATTTAAACACGTAGATCTAGATCTAAAAAAAAGTAGTTATAGATCTAAACAAGTAGATCTAGAAATTCTAGATCTTAACACGTAGAATTGAAGAAGCAGATCAAACAAGTAGAGTCTATAGCGGACATCTGAATTATACAGAAACAATTCGAAGCTAGATATCTAGACTAGATCTAGAAATCTAGATCTAGATCTAGACTCTAGTTGGAGAGAAAACGTTTCAGCTAACCTTTGCAAACTGAAGGTTCCATTAATACATCAGTAGGAAAGTAGATTTCAGTTATTGAATCCTGTGGTAGGCCATTAATACATCAGTAGGAAAGTGGTTCATAAATTTGACTGCTCGGAGTCTTGGCAGTGAATTTTTTTTTTGCACTTGTATAAACATGGTACCTAAATGTAGTCAACAATGTACGTTACTGGCCGTGTATTGTCGATGTGTTACCTTGGTGTGTAGCTGTGTTCTTTATTTACTTGTGTTGAGTTTGGTGTGTGTTGTGGATGTGTGTTCACTAGTGTGTGGCTGTGTTCTTTATTTACTTGTGTTGAGTTTGGTGTGTGTTGTGGGTGTGTACCTTCGTGTGTAGCTGTGTTCTTTATTTACTGTGCTGTGTTTGGTGTGTATTGTGTACCCTTCGTGTGTAGCTGTGTTTCTTTACTTACTTGTGCTGAAGATGATAGTTAACTTAGACATTGAACCTCCCCTCCCCACCCTTTTATTCTCCTTCCGGTCAGCCCTTCCAGGCCTGGACAACATTGACCACATCATGGACATGCTGCACCACCACAGCCAGAAGACCAGCAACAGGAATAAGATGCAGCTGCACGGCTAGCAGGGCAGACGACAGACGTGCTTCCAACAGTGGCATGTCGTGTCAGGCCGTAGATGCTAAAATAAAGTCTTTGTTTTAAAGTTTGTTTCGTTTTTTTTTCATCTGTCTCCAGTCATACTTTTTTGTCAAAATAATAAAAAAAAAAAAAAATAAATAAATAAACACACGGATACAAAAAGTGGCGCTTCAGCCCAAGACACTTAAGGTCACAGTGTGTGTGGGGGTGGGGGTGGGTGGAGGCACTAAGGACATGGTGCAGCGCGGGAAGGACACTGAGGAAAGTGGGGGTGGGACCCAAGGACACAGTCTGGGAGAGAGGACAGTGTGGGGTGGGAGAGGACACTATAGACACAGTGTGGAGTAGGAGAGGACGATAAAGACACAATTTGGGGAGGGGGGCACTAGGGACGCATTGTTCGGTGGTAGAGGAAACTAAGGACCTCAGGACACACTGTGGGGAGAGAGTGGACACCCAACACAGTGTGTGTGAAATTCTATCTGGCACCTGATTTACTCGGGTAATAATTTCTCATCAAATATTGAGTGCTCAACTCAACTACCTGATATCGTCTGCTAATTGCAGACGTTAATCTGTCACGTGACACTAGGTGAGGATTCTCTGACGGACGGGCGGAAGGTGGGTGTGTGTGTGTGTGTGGGGGGGGGGATAACGTACATGGGCATATAAGTGATTAACAGATCATTGCAGGTAAAAAAAAAATTATGACAGGTAAAGAGCCAGATCATTGCATGTTAAAAGCCAGATTTTTGCAGGTAAAAAGCCAGACCATTTCAGGTAAAAAGCCAGACCATTGCAGGTAAAAAGCCAGACCATTGCAGGTAAAAAGCCAGATCATAACAGGTAAAAAGCCAGACCATTTCAGGTAAAAAGCCAGACCATTGCAGGTAAAAAGCCAGACCATTGCATGTTAAAAGCCAGATCATGACAGGTAAAAAGCCAGACCGTGACAGGCGGCGATGGAAAAAACCCAGATAATTACAGTTTGAACCAGACCTCAGCCGCTTTATCTTTAAACAATAGGAACCACCAACCAATCAAACAAAACCAGCAATACGGCGAGAATAAAAAAACAACAGCAGAGCTACCGAGTTACCACAATTATTGCGTCTTTACTAGCAGAGTTTCTTCCAGGCATCTCTTTTTTACCGCCCCCCCCCCCCCCGAACGAAATAAAATTTATATAATTTATATAGAAAATATATACTTTTAACAGTGTCCGCCCCCCCCCCCCCCCCCGAAGAAAGTCTACCGCCCCCCCCCCCCCCCCCGAAAATTTCAAGTGCCCCCCAGGAGAAAAAAGTCTGGAAGAAACACTGTTTACTAGGCTGCACCACTATCAGACCACATTTGGTTGATTGACTAAATACACAAACAGGAAAAAGCTAGCTTTCTTCGCACGATTTATATGACGCTGTGAGATCAATGGTTGAACAAATCACAACAGCTGTGGTCCATGTTTGAATGCGTTTGGCAATAATTGAAAAAAAGTTAGGCAATAATTGGACGTTCTTTTGCCATAAATGAAAAAAAAAACAACAAAACTTTCGATACTTTAGGCAATGTTTGGATATTTTAGGCAATGATTTGTTTAATTAGGCAATGTCTGAATTGATGTTGTTGCTGTTTACTAGCACTGATTTACTAGCACTGATTTTTTGTTTGTTTTAAAATCAAAATGTGACGAAATATTTCTGTACAAATAAACCATCACGTCCCCTAAGTTTTCAATCACATAACGACAACATTATCATGTCCACTTTGCGACCTGCTTTAGGGGATAAGTAAAGGGAAGCGATCACTGGCGTTGATGACAAATGTTCACAGTCATAGAGACAGAGGCGTAGCAAGGGGGGGGGGGGCGGCGGGGGTTGGGGGTGCGGACCGCACCGGATGACACCCGACCTCGCTACGCCACTGTGGATGATCCCTTAGTCTTTTTTAATAACAAACAATTGAACTGCATTTTTGAGGGGTGGGGGGGGGGGGGGGGTGGCATTTTGGAAAGGAGGGAGGAGTCTGGCTTTTGTGAAGGTGTGTTACAGTGGTGAGGGTGGGTGGGGTAAAATCGTCAAAAAAGCATGTCATTTATGGATGACACAGCCCCCCCCCCCCTTTTAGTAGTAGCTGGAATGTCTTTTCAATACCTCTTTTTTTCTTTAATAGTCAAATAAAGATGTAGATAGAAGTATTCGTTTATATTAAAAAATATATTAAATGCTTGGTATAATTAAAAAATAAGCATTTTAATTTTATTTATTTTTAATTTTAAAAATTTGTTAAAAATGACGTCATCAAAAATTGCAGTCTAGCTCTCCCAAATGAAAATATTCAAGGGAATGTACTCTCACCTAGTGGTTAACATTTTTTCCGACGGCTTCATTGACAACCAAATTCTCTCTCTCTATCAAATTCATTATCAAATTCCACACTCTTAAATGTTGTGATTAAAATAATACATAGCTTTTTCAATAATGGTAAACTATATTTATAAGTACTTATCATCTCATTAGTTGATTTGTTTAGTAAGCATTTAAACATACATTATTTAGAAAATTACTAGATTCTAGAACTTAGAACTAGAATCTAGATTCGGTAATCTATCGTTTTAGGTACGTAAAATCGCCCGCGACTAGTAATGTGAAAAACAGGTGACTCCTTACATTTTAATAATTATTTCACATTTTGAGGAGGATTTATGTTTTGAAAAATACAAAAATGTTTCCTTGTTTCATTTATGTACCTGTTTCTAAACAATCGAATTAAAACTTTTCAGTAATAAATGAACACCAGCGATGTTTCCAACAGATGCAACCATGCTCATTTACTATAGCAGCCATTTTGTTAAAGTTTTATTTTTATAGACTTATAGCGCAAGATTCAGGCGGAAGTCACTCTATTTTACAAATGGCTGCTGTTTATATAGCAAATCTTGCTTGCTGTTTAAAGTTAATTTCGGGCCTATATTGATATATTTAGCCATTGATTTAGGTTTATTATTCATTTATCTATAATATTTGACACAAACATATCACAATATACTTCTATTACAGCCTTGACAATGAGGTAACGTTTTCGTACATTAATAGCCGCGGGCGATTTTACGTACCCAAAACGATAGATTACCCTAGATTCTAATCATCATGGATTCAGTATCAGTAACAATTTAACAAACGAGTTGGCTCGCCTACAAGCCAGACACTGCAGACAGCAAAAGTCGGAAAAAGACGTCGAAAACTTAGTTCTAGAGTCTAAGACTAAGAGTCTACTCTAACTAAAACTGAAGCTTAAATAAATTAGCCTCTGCGGCTAAATTTGTTAACATTTAATAACAAGCCTAATTTTAAGATGTTTTTATTGTAGATCTAGAAAAGATTCTAGAATATATCTTTTCTGTTGTGATTTTTTCCTGATATGGTCTGTTAATAATTATAGATCTAGTATTAATAGTATTAGTATTGCTCACTATCTGGAGGCGGGACCAGTTGTTAACATTAACATGAATATGGCATCCACACCGGATGCATAACTTCAAACGAATTTTTTGTTATAGTTTCAGTGACCATTACTTTTAAAATTGTTTACCACGAGCAAAATGGTGGGTTTTTGCCTTATAAAAACAAACTGTGGCAGGTTTTAAAAACCATTTGACCCCTATTGCCTATTGGTTGATCACTAGTGTCAGTGAGGAACTCTGGTGCATTGCCAGTTAAAAAGTTGAACCAATTTAATTGTGGCTTGCCGTGGCTTCAAACATAATGGTTGTAATGGAAAGGTGTGTCATGCCATGGCTGTGAGTGACAATATTAAATTAAGTAATTTAGTTCAAAATTAGTGCCAAATGTTTACATTGAAAATTGAGTAAATTTTAGATTTAGCGAGAATATCTAAAATATTTAATATTATATTGCCTATGGCGCACTATGGTATGAACTTCTCAGACCGAGCTAATGTAGAGCTCACATGTAAAGTGTACTTTATTTTGTTCTCTTCTTATTTAATTGTCTTATCAGTCCAAAATGTAAAAAATATAATTTTATAAAATAGCTGAATGTAGACTACAACTTGAACACTAATATCTCGCATGCGTGGTAGTATGCTATAATTGAAAATTATATAATTTAACATATGAACCCATATAACCCCAAATATGTTTTTTATCTTGCTTGGTTTGGGGGACAAATAAAAGTGAAGTAATTGACAATCTCAAAAAGCAATGTTCTTGCTATGACTTATGCTATACACCAATGCTACTGATATCTAAACCAAAGTGAACTCACAGTAACCCTAGACCCCTGTTGGTATTTTTCTCCCGCTGACAAGACAACATGAGCTGGTGATCAAAGGAGCAACAATGTTAAGAATTGGTATATTTAAAAAAAAATCTAAATCTAGTAAAGCTATAGAATTTAAAAAAAGCATAAAACACTTGTGATAGATTAACTAGCTGAATACTTTACTTCTCGCACAAGACTTATGTCTGATTTTCATGTGAGGTTCCGAACCATTATTTTCAGAGATTTGGGAGGCATGACATTCACTATTCGGCCACTTTGTCTTACCTTAAATAGTTAATATTTAATGATTTTGTATATAGTGCTAAATATAGGATATTTAGAAATCATAGGTCCTAATACTAGCAAATACTTAGAACTATTTAACACACAACAAAATACTTGCAAATCCACAAGAAAAATCAAATAAACACAAAAGGAATAATTTTAATACATGTTATGTGAATGTGTAATAGGAGGGCCTATAGACCAAACTTGATGCCTGGTCCGAATAACTGTCAGGGCTTTAGGGACCTGGCTCCTAATAGCCACCTCCTAAATTAAAATTTAAAATATATAGACCTTTGAATTAGATCTAGAGCAGTGGCGGAACTAGAAAAAACAATTAAAAGCAGAACCAAAGTGTCTGCTTGTAATTCAATCAAAAAGCTGTTCACAACAAGACTAAGTTCTAAGTCACCTGAGTGTAAAAAACAATGCTGTTTCAGGTTTAGTGATCATATAGAGGTAAAATTGGTAAAGACAAGATTTACACTCTTCAATTTGAATGTAGTAAATTTGGACATTTTTTAACAGTAGATTTAGGTTGATGATCTACAGTGTAAAAAAAAAACTTAATTTGTTATTAAAACTATGTCTGGATTCTATTCAATAAAATATATCAATAAAAGACTTTTTATCTTGCCAGGCTTAGATAGGCTGATCAGCCCCACAAACATTTGTCCTCATCTTCCTCGAGCCACACATCATCTGAGAGCCACACATTATCCCAGAGGTTCTCACCATCCTAGAGCTACACACCATCTCAAAGGTCCTCATCACACAGCCACAAGATGCTGGTCCCTATATTTTCACTGAAGCTGAACCATAAAGTTATTCCCCGCACTGTTGCTGTGGGTCACTATGATGGGACACACCCTGCCCTCACATGTGCTACCGCTGCTGGAAAGGTAAATCTGTTGGTTGTCATGACAATATATCTCAGCATTATTGCTGCAGGAGATATTTTGTCAGTGAGGTATTATTTCCTGAGATATTTTATCAGTGAGATATTTTTTCCAGAGATATTTTGTTCTGTTCCCCCTGTTGTCACTATTAGTCTGATACAAAAGTAGCTTTATTTCTAAAGTAACATGTGAAATGATAATCATTGTTAGACAGTGCCAGTGGACTTTACTCCCATAATTTGTTGTAGGTGTTGATACACAGCCCCCACACCCACCAGCAGAACCCAGGGGAAGATTCCAGCATCAACCTGCTCAACATAAACCAACAAGTGACCTCCCTGGCCACAGGGCTCCTGGACCCAGACAACGAGGGGGAGGTCCTCGTTGTGGGCACCCCCACCAATGTGCTGGCTTATGACATCAACAACAACAAGGATATCTTCTACAAAGATGTAAGTTGTCACCAGTTCTTTCTGTGTTACATATCTAGACCTTTTTGTGTTACACATTTTGACCTTTTTTGTCTCACCTGTCTAGAGCATATGACATATTACAAGTGTACATCTGTTCTTTCTGTGTTACATATATTGACCTTTCTGTGTTACATATATTGACCTTTCTGTGTTACATATATTGACCTTTCTGTGTTACATGTTAACCTTTCAGTGTTACATATGTTGACCTTTATGTGTTACATATGTTGACCTTTATGTGTTACATATGTTGACCTTTATGTGTTACATATGTTGACCTTTATGTGTTACATATGTTGACCTTTATGTGTTACACATGTTGACCTGTACACATCCAGAGTCCAGATGGAGCCAACGCAATAAAAATTGGGAGGATTGGATCCATACCATCACCACTAGCTATAGTGGGGGGAAACTGCTCCATTTTAGGCTACAACCAGCAGGGGGAAGATAACTTCTGGACAGTAAGTACATTGCACTTGTCATCTTTATGTCATATCTTAGCTCATGTCATCACATCCTAGGTCATGTCATATATAGGCCATGTCATCATGTCATATCATGTCATACCATCATGTCATATCCTAGGTCATGTCATCATGTCATATCTTAGGCCATGTCATACATATACACAGACATAACCTTGCTGTGACATGTCAGTTGTGCTTGTGTTTTCAGCAGCGCCAGACAAGAAGAATAAAAAGATTATTTTTATTTTACTCTCCCCCCCCCCCCCCCTCCAGGTCACAGGGGACAATGTGCAGTCTCTGTGTTTGATGGACTTTAATGGGGATGGCCAAAATGAGGTTTGTTTCTTTTTCTATAAGCTTTCTCACTGGTCTCACCTGTTTCACCTGTCTCACCTGTCTCACCTGTCTCACCTGTCTCACTTGTTCCACTTGTCTCACCTGTTTCACATGTCTCACCTGTTCACTTGTTCCACCTGTCTCACCTGTTCACTTGTTCCACTTGTCTCACCTGTCTCACCTGTCTCACCTGTTTCACCTGTCTCACTTGTTTCCTGCCTCACTGGTCTTGCACTTGTAAGTGTGTGTAGACCTGTACCAAACACAACTCAGCTTTCTACAAACTTGAGTCAGATCCACAACAGGATACATTCACTCATACAATCAGTGGTCGTAGGATTGAAACTTTTTATTTCCAACTTCATTTTATGTCACAAGTTGTTGTACTTAAAGCACTTATTATTTTCTTTCTCTAATATCACGTGTTTGTTATTTAAATACATCGTTGATTATTTGATACTTGTAGCTGATCGTGGGGTCCGAGGATTACGACATACGAGTGTTTAAGGAGGACGAAATCATCGCTGAGATGACAGAAACTGAGGTGATTTAATCATACGTCAACATAGTCCTCATAACCGCCATTTTTGTGGTGTTTTTTTTTTACAAGAATTCTCTCACATTAAATATACCTAACGAGCCGACCCGCAGCGTATCATATGCCGCTATTTAGTCGTTTTATTTTCTACTTTTCAGTAATTCATAATTTGTGAATTCGACAGTACCAATGCTGCCACTGAAAATATTTGCTTTAAAACACTACCCCCCCCCCCCCCCCCCCCCTTTCCCCTAACCCCGACCCTACACCCCCCCTCCCTCCCCCCCCCTTGTGAAAGCAGCCTCCTCTTAGTTATTTATTAGTTACCTCCTGTAAGTTTAAAATCGAACTAAATTATCTGCCCCTAATAGAAACCCGGCTCTACGGCTCTACGATTTGTAAACATTTAGCTTTGTAAACATTTAGCGTGACCACAACTCACCAGACAATGTGGGGGTGGGGTGGGGGTGGTAGTGATAGTGATAGAGAGAAAGAGAGGGGACTGCAAGGAGGCACTTGCATCTTGTTTTCTAATAGCTCCCAGAGGAGAATTATATATATAGATTCTTAAAATTTTAACTGGATGCAAGAATTAAACTGTGTAGTAAAGTTTTTAATTAGTAGAAAATTGTAATATAAGAGGGAGATAATTTGATGAAGTTTACCTTGTGAGCAGGTGATCACCTGCCTGTCTAACCATAATTTGATGAAGTTTGCCTTGTGAGCAGGTGATCACCTGCCTGTCTAACCATAATTTGATGAAGTTTGCCTTGTGAGCAGGTGATCACCTGCCTGTCTAACCATAATTTGATGAAGTTTGCCTTGTGAGCAGGTGATCACCTGCCTGTCTAACCATAATTTGATAAAGTTTGCCTTGTGAGCAGGTGATCACCTGCCTGTCTAACCTGATGGGCACCAGGTTTGGCTACGCCCTGTCCAATGGAACTGTAGGCGTGTATGAGACACAGTCGCGCTGCTGGAGAATCAAGGTCAGAGAGTTTTTTATTTCAAACATTTTTTGAGAAAAACACATTTTCATACTTTGCGAACAGAATTTTTATTGAAAAGTTTAAAAATAAAATGTCTTCAGCAGTTAGCTTGAATATTTGTTTAAAAAATCAATTTTGTTGTAATAAGTACAAGAACCGTATTATTTATATTTTAATTACATGTCTTGTTGTGTTCTATTCCTGGACTGACTTGTGATCCTGTATTGATGTAGTCTAAAAACAAAGCTGTGGCCATTCATGGATTTGATCTTGATGGGGATGGTGTGCAGGAGCTGATTACAGGCTGGAGTAATGGCAAGGTGAGCCAGCCATCTAAGGGTTAAACTGTTCACGTCTGTAACTGGCCATCTAAGAGTTAATGAATCATTAAAAACCAAATTTTTATTGTCCACTACAGTGAATCATTAAGAACCAAATTTTTACAGTCCACTAGAATGAACCATTAAGAACCAAATTTTTATTGTCCACTACAGTGAATGATTAAGAACCAAATTTTTATTCCACTACAATGAATCATTAAGTCATTAAGAACCAAATTTTTATTGTCCACTACAGTGAATGATTAAGAACCAAATTTTTATTGTCCACTACAATGAATCATTAAGTCATTAAGAACCAAATTTTTATTGTCCACTACAGTGAATGATTAAGAACAAAATTTGTATTGTCCACTACAATGAATCATTAAGTCATTAAGAACCAAATTTTTATTGTCCACTAAAATGAATCATTAAAAACCAAATTTTTACCAAATTTTTATTGTCCACTACAGTGAATGATTAAGAACCAAATTTTTATTCCACTACAATGAATCATTAAGTCATTAAGAACCAAATTTTTATTGTCCACTACAGTGAATGATTAAGAACCAAATTTTTATTGTCCACTACAATGAATCATTAAGTCATTAAGAACCAAATTTTTATTGTCCACTACAGTGAATGATTAAGAACAAAATTTGTATTGTCCACTACAATGAATCATTAAGTCATTAAGAACCAAATTTTTATTGTCCACTAAAATGAATCATTAAAAACCAAATTTTTACCAAATTTTTATTGTCCACTACAATAAATCATTAAAAACCAAATTTTTATTGTCCACTACAATGAATCATTAAGAACCAAATTTTTATTGTCCAGGTTGATGCCCGCAATGACAGAACTGGTGAAGTAGTTTTCAAAGACAATTTTAGTCATTCATTAGCCGGCATTGTACAGGTGTGTAGCATTAGCTTGTAACATTTAGTTGTAACATTGGTTTGGTGTAACATTTTGATGTAACATTGGCTTGGTGTAACGTTGGGTTGGGCTGTGCTATAGGATTTTACTCTTGTAAAAGTGTATTTATTTCTAGTCTAGTCTATTCCCCAGGTTAATCTATCACCCCCCCCCCCCCCTCCCCCAAAGGGGCATTACTACCCACATTGAGGAACTCTCAACAAAATGTTTTTTTAGTTTATCTTTTCTAAAGTTGTTTATCAAGCTTTTAGACATTTAATAAACATCATAGAACAAAATTTAAACACACATTAACACTTGTCACAATTTCCTATTCTATTAGCCTTGGTTAAATTTAGATGGGAAAACATTTTGACCTAGTTAGAGTGATTAAAGTTACAGTTTTTGACCTGATCTTGCAGGCTGACTATCGCATGGACTCTAACTCCAGATCAGAGCAGCTGATGTGTGTGTCTGTGGAGGGAGAAGGTGAGCGCTACAGTAGACACAGTACTGCTCATCTGTCTAGCTAGTACTACAGTAGACATGTTACAGTACAGCTCATCTGTCTAGCTAGTGCTACAGTAGACATGTTACAGTACAGCTCATCTGTCTAGCTAGTGCTACCCTGCCTCACAGTCTAGCTAGTGCTACCCTCTCTCAGTCTATCTAGTGCTACCTTGTTTCACTCTAACTACACTGTCTCAGTCTTGCTAGTGCTACCCTGTCTCACAATCTAGCTAGTGCTACCCTGTCTCAGTCTAGCTAGTGCTACCCTGTCTCAGTCTAGCTAGTGCTACCCTGTCTCAGTCTAGCTAGTGCTACACTGTCTCAGTCTAGCTAGTGCTACCCTGGTTACAAGTTTATTTAAAGAATCATCTCAAACTTCTAAAACTAAAAAAGTAATCTTCCAGGATACTATGAATGCCTTGTTCTATTCTTGCATCTAGTCAGGGGATATAACCAAGTTTGTTATATTCTTGCATCTAGTCAGGGGATATAACCAAGTTTGTTCTATTCTTGCATCTAGTCAGGGGATATAACCAAGTTTGTTCTATTCTTGCATCTAGTCAGGGGATATAACCAAGTTTGTTCTATTCTTGCATCTAGTCAGGGGATATAACCAAGTTTGTTCTATTCTTGCATCTAGTCAGGGGATATAACCAAGTTTGTTCTATTCTTGCATCTAGTCAGGGGATATAACCAAGTTTGTTCTATTCTTGCATCTAGTCAGGGGATATAACCAAGTTTGTTCTATTCTTGCATCTAGTCAGGGGATATAACCAAGTTTGTTCTATTCTTGCATCTAGTCAGGGGATATAACCAAGTTTGTTCTATTCTTGCATCTAGTCAGGGGATATAACCAAGTTTGTTCTATTCTTGCATCTAGTCAGGGGATATAACCAAGTTTGTTCTATTCTTGCATCTAGTCAGGGGATATAACCAAGTTTGTTCTATTCTTGCATCTAGTCAGGGGATATAACCAAGTTTGTTCTATTCTTGCATCTAGTCAGGGGATATAACCCAGCCGCAGGGGCTACTGCTCTGATGGACTCAAATGTTGAACAAGATACTATCAGAGAGTTGAGCCAAAGGAAACAGGTCAGTGCTGTGCTGGGTGTGAACTGAGGTTAATTGCTAATCAGTGACCAATGTCACTCAGTGACCAATGTCACTCAGTGACCAATGTCACTCAGTGCTAATTGGGAATCTGTCCTGCATGCTTTTTGTGTGTGTTAAATGACGCAATCCATGAGATGACTGGGTGACCGTGACCTTTTGAAACCCCCAGAACCTGATGTTGGAGCTGAAAAACTACGCAGAAAACTCACGAGTGGCATTGTCAGGGGAGGCCGTGGGATTTGCTGCAGCCCATGCTGCGGAGATGGACAAGAATGGCCCTGGCCAGGGAAAATTTCCATTTGCTGGCCTAAAGGGATTGCAGGTAGATTTTATATTTTTTGGCCTAAATGGATTGCAGGTAGATTTTGGGTGTCTAAAAATGTTTGTAACATATAAAGTAGCAAATGTGTTATATTTTGTAGCAATTTCTTAGGATCAGCTTTGATTGTATTGTGTTGTGTTTACAAGATGTTTTAAAATAAGTTTCAGCCAGTAGATTTTCTCTGCTCATGTTTGCCTAAGAACTGGTGTATGACCTTGTGTTGATGAGTTTACTTCCTTGTGTTGATGTGTTGATGAGTTGACTTCCTTGTGTTCCCCAGGCTGGGGGCGGAGTGGGCTTTGATACATCTGGAGTTGGGGCCGGGGACAGTCAGTCTGTGTCCAGGCCAGGGCTGGCTGGGCCACTCATGGGGCCAGGGGCACAGATTGGGCTGGCTACCCTAGGGACACAAGGGCCCCCCTTTGGACTGACTGCACAAGGGCCCCCCTTTGGACTGACAACACAAGGGCCCCCCTTTGGGCGGCTATCACCAGCTGGTCAAGCACAAAATTTTAAACTTGGAGCCATGGGAGAAGTGGGCAAAAGTTCCATGGGCATGATACCTGTAAGTCTGTGGTGATACCTGTAAGTCTGTGGTGATACCTGTAAGTCTGTGGTGATACCTGTAAGTGAGTGGTAATACCTGTAAGTTTGTAGTGATACCTCTAAGTCTGTGGTGATACCTGTAATTGTGTGGTGATACCTGTAAGTTGTGGTGATACCTGTAATTGTGTGGGGATACCTGTAAGTTTGTAGTAATACCTGTAAGTTTGTGGTGATACCTATAAGTTTGTGGTGATACCTGTAAGTTTGTAGTGATACCTGAAAGCATGTGCTGGTACATGTAAGTGTGTGGTGATACCTGTAAGTGTGTGGTGATACATGTAAGTGTGTGGTGATACCTGTAAGTGTGTGGTGATACCTGTAAGTTTGTGTTGATACCTGTAAGTCTGTTGTGATACCTGTAAAATTGTGGTGATACCTGTAAGTTTGTGGTGATACCTGTAAGTTTGTGGTGATACCTGTAAGTTTGTGGTGATACCTGTAAGTTTGTGGTAATACCTGTAAGTTTGTGGTGATACCTGTAAGTTTGTGTTGATACCTGTAAGTCTGTTGTGATACCTGTAAAATTGTGGTGATACCTGTAAGTTTGTGGTGATACCTGTAAGTTTGTGGTAATACCTGTAAGTTTGTGGTGATACCTGTAAGTTTGTGGTGATACCTGTAAGTTTGTGGTGATACCTGTAAGTTTGTGGTAATACCTGTAAGTTTGTGGTGATACCTGTAAGTTTGTGTTGATACCTGTAAGTCTGTTGTGATACCTGTAAAATTGTGGTGATACCTGTAAGTCTGTGGAGATACCTGTAAGTCTGTGGTGATACCAGTAAGTTTGTGTTGATACCTGTAATTGTGTGGTGATACCTGTAATTGTGTGGTGATACCTGTAAGTGTGTGGTGATACCTGTAAGTCTGTGGTGATACCTGAAAGCATGTTCTGGTACATGTAAGTGTGTGGTGATACCTGTAAGTGTGTGGTGATACCTGTAATTGTGTGGTGATACCTGTAAGTGTGTGGTGACACCTGGCTGACCTAACCATTTGCTGTCCCTAGGCTAACACCCAGCTGCAGACAACCCTGTCAGTCCACCCAGGTGATCAAACACAGCCAGTAAGTTCTCACTCATTGCACACACATAGCTCAATTGTTGCTCACTCATTGTTCTACTTGTGCTGTTATTGTAAACTAAAGTTTGTCTTTAGAAATATTTAAATTTTATTTCTTTTCCTTTAGGCTCATGTGGAACTTTTTATCACTACCACCAATGGTAAGTCTAACTGTATCACCACCACATTTTTGATCATGCTATTTAAAGGGATATGCTCATTACAAAATCACCAAAGGGTTTCTTGCATTTTTGGATACTTTGTCCATTTTTGTAATAAGAAAATAATAACTTTAATGAGAAATTTTTTTTACCATTTTTAAAACACCATTTTTATCACCTTATTAATTAAAAAATAATTCTTTTTTTCCAAATCTTACAAGCTCGCTATGAAAAGTTTAATATCCATCATCGTAAGCTGGATTTTTCATGTATTTGATTATCTTATTTTCAATGATCTCAGAAACAGCCAAAGCTTACAATTGCCTTTTCAAGTTACACAGATGTGATTTTTTCGTGACCTACTTTTCCTTACTTTTTGCAGTTTTTTTAACCCTAAAAAGGCTACTATTTTTTAAAATTTATTATACAATACCCCCCCTTGTTTTCAGTAATTGTCCTTCATGCAAAAATAAAACTTTTGTCACGAGGGATTTGTGATGGGTTTCTTTAAAAAAAAAATGTGGTAAATAATATGCAAATTTTGAAACTTTTTCATACTAAAAAGGGTAGATTTTTCAGACTTTGTAGAATTCTGACCAGCAGCTCTTTCAAAAAGTTGTCGTGGCAAAAGTTTTAATATATACTGAAATATAGGCCTTTTATATTTGATTGCTATATGTGCATAAATAAAAAAGCCTTAGCTTTTTACAAGTACCAAAAAGTTAAAAATGGCGGAGGTTTTTTTCAGGTTTCCATGACAACCATTTTTGTGTGTTTAATACTTACTTTCATGTGCCAAACATGGTAAAAGTATTCAAAAGGTTTTAGATCCTAAATTTAAAAAAATAAAAATAAACTGCAGATATCCCATTAATATCTAATCCAAGCTAACTCTTGTCAAAAAAAACTATTTCTTCCCCTGCAGAAACCATCATTAAAGCTGTTCTTATATTTGCTGAAGGAATTTTTGATGGGGAATGTCATGTTGTGTAAGTAAATGATCAATCCCTTTGACCAATCATGACTTATTTCCCTTTGACCAATTATACCTTACTTTCCTTTGACCAATCATGACATACCTCACTTCAACCAATCATGCCTTACCTCCCTTTGACCAATCATGCCTTACCTCCCTTTGACCAATCATGCCTTACCTCCCTTTGGCCAATCATGCCTTACCTCCCTTTGACCAATCATGACTTACCTCCTTTGACCAATCATGACTCACCTCCCTTTGACCAATCATGACTTACCTCCCTTTGACCAATTATGCCTTACCTTCCTTGACCAATCATGACTTACCTACCTTTGACCAATCATGACTTACCTCCCTTTGACCAATTATGCCTTACCTCCCTTTGACCAATCATGACTTACCTCCCTTTGACCAATCATGCCTTACCTCCCTTTGACCAATAATGACTTACCTCCCTTTGACCAATCATGACTTATCTCCCTTTGACCAATCATGACTTACCTTCCTTTGACCAATTATGCCTTACATCAGTTTGACCAATCATGCCTGACCATAAATGATCTCCTCTCCAGCCACCCTAACGCTGCCTCCCTGACCAACTCTGTCCGAGTGCCCATCATCCCACCCAAAGATGTGCCCGTGGACCTGCACATCAAGACACTTATAGGGCAGAAGAACAGGTAAGCTAGTCAGGTACAGTTATAGTCTCATCCAACAGCCATGTTCCCCACCACACATGTAACAGCCATGTTCCCCTCTGTTCCCCAGCACACATGTAACAGCCATGTTCCCCAGCACACATGTAACAGCCATGTTCCCCTCTGTTCCCCAGTACACATGTAACAGCCATGTTCCCCAGTACACATGTAACAGCCATGTTCCCCTCTGTTCCCCAGTACACATGTAACAGCCATGTTCCCCAGCACACATGTAACAGCCATGTTCCCCAGCACACATGTAACAGCCATGTTCCCCTCTGTTCCCCAGTACACATGTAACAGCCATGTTCCCCAGCACACATGTAACAGCCATGTTCCCCAGCACACATGTAACAGCCATGTTCCCCTCTGTTCCCCAGTACACATGTAACAGCTATGTTCCCCAGCACACATGTAACAGCCATGTTCCCCTCTGTTCCCCAGCACACATGTAACAGCCATGTTCCCCTCTGTTCCCCAGTACACATGTAACAGCTATGTTCCCCAGCACACATGTAACAGCCATGTTCCCCAGCACACATGTAACAGCCATGTTCCCCTCTGTTCCCCAGCACACATGTAACAGCCATGTTCCCCTCTGTTTCCCAGCACACATGTAACAGCCATGTTCCCCAGCACACATGTAACAGCCATGTTCCCCTCTGTTCCCCAGCACACATGTAACAGCCATGTTCCCCAGCACACATGTAACAGCCATGTTCCCCAGCACACATGTAACAGCCATGTTCCCCTCTGTTCCCCAGTACACATGTAACAGCCATGTTCCCCAGTACACATGTAACAGCCATGTTCCCCAGTACACATGTAACAGCTATGTTCCCCAGCACACATGTAACAGCCATGTTCCCCAGCACACATGTAACAGCCATGTTCCCCTCTGTTCCCCAGTACACATGTAACAGCCATGTTCCCCAGTACACATGTAACAGCCATGTTCCCCTCTGTTCCCCAGTACACATGTAACAGCCATGTTCCCCTCTGTTCCCCAGTACACATGTAACAGCCATGTTCCCCAGCACACATGTAACAGCCATGTTCCCCTCTGTTCCCCAGTACACATGTAACAGCCATGTTCCCCAGCACACATGTAAGAGCCATGTTCCCCTCTGTTCCCCAGTACACATGTAACAGCCATGTTCCCCAGCACACATGTAACAGCCATGTTCCCCTCTGTTCCCCAGTACACATGTAACAGCCATGTTCCCCTCTGTTCCCCAGTACACATGTAACAGCCATGTTCCCCAGCACACATGTAACAGCCATGTTCCCCAGTACACATGTAACAGCCATGTTCCCCAGCACACATGTAACAGCCATGTTCCCCTCTGTTCCCCAGTACACATGTAACAGCCATGTTCCCCTCTGTTCCCCAGTACACATGTAACAGCCATGTTCCCCAGCACACATGTAACAGCCATGTTCCCCAGCACACATGTAACAGCCATGTTCCCCTCTGTTCCCCAGTACACATGTAACAGCCATGTTCCCCAGTACACATGTAACAGCCATGTTCCCCTCTGTTCCCCAGTACACATGTAACAGCCATGTTCCCCTCTGTTCCCCAGTACACATGTAACAGCCATGTTCCCCAGCACACATGTAACAGCCATGTTCCCCTCTGTTCCCCAGCACACATGTAACAGCCATGTTCCCCAGCACACATGTAACAGCCATGTTCCCCTCTGTTCCCCAGCACACATGTAACAGCTATGTTCCCCAGCACACATGTAACAGCTATGTTCCCCAGCACACATGTAACAGCTATGTTCCCCAGCACACATGTAACAGCCATGTTCCCCAGCACACATGTAACAGCCATGTTCCCCTCTGTTCCCTGGCCCACTTGTAACAGCTATGTTCCCCTCTGTTCCCCAGCACACATGTAACAGCCATGTTCCCCAGCACACATGTAACAGCCATGTTCCCCTCTGTTCCCTGGCCCACTTGTAACAGCTATGTTCCCCTCTGTTCCCCAGCACACATGTAACAGCCATGTTCCCCTCTGTTCCCTGGCCCACTTGTAACAGCCATGTTCCCCTCTGTTCCCCAGTACACATGTAACAGCCATGTTCCCCAGTACACATGTAACAGCCATGTTCCCCTCTGTTCCCCAGTACACATGTAACAGCCATGTTCCCCTCTGTTCCCCAGCACACATGTAACAGCCATGTTCCCCTATGTTCCCCAGTACACATGTAACAGCCATGTTCCCCAGCACACATGTAACAGCCATGTTCCCCTCTGTTCCCCAGTACACATGTAACAGCCATGTTCCCCAGCACACATGTAACAGCCATGTTCCCCAGCACACATGTAACAGCCATGTTCCCCTCTGTTCCCCAGTACACATGTAACAGCCATGTTCCCCTCTGTTCCCCAGTACACATGTAACAGCCATGTTCCCCAGCACACATGTAACAGCCATGTTCCCCTCTGTTCCCCAGCACACATGTAACAGCTATGTTCCCCAGCACACATGTAACAGCCATGTTCCCCAGCACACATGTAACAGCCATGTTCCCCTCTGTTCCCCAGCACACATGTAACAGCTATGTTCCCCAGCACACATGTAACAGCTATGTTCCCCAGCACACATGTAACAGCTATGTTCCCCAGCACACATGTAACAGCCATGTTCCCCAGCACACATGTAACAGCCATGTTCCCCTCTGTTCCCTGGCCCACTTGTAACAGCTATGTTCCCCTCTGTTCCCCAGCACACATGTAACAGCCATGTTCCCCTCTGTTCCCTGGCCCACTTGTAACAGCCATGTTCCCCTCTGTTCCCCAGCACACACTTCCATGTGTTTGAGCTGACCAGGGAACTGCCCAGATTCTCCATGTATCTACTGGCCAGCAATGACCTGCCTGACCCCAGGAGCTCCGTCCACTTTACCTTGAATGACCGGCCACAAAGGGTTTGTAGTCATGGCAACCAGCTGCCCTGGGCTTTGCTTCATTTCTTGACCAACATATAGCTGTAGCATTAGACTTGACATCACAAATATTTCTTGACCAACATATAGCTGTAGCATTAGACTTGACATCACAAACATTTCTTGACCAACATATAGCTGTAGCATTAGACTTGAAGTCACAAACATTTCTTGACCAACATATAGCTGTAGCATTAGACTTGACATCACAAACATTTCTTGACCAACATATAGCTGTAGCATTAGACTTGACATCACAAACATTTCTTGACCAACATATAGCTGTAGCATTAGACTTGACATCACAAACATTTCTTGACCAACATATAGCTGTAGCATTAGACTTGAAGTCACAAACATTTCTTGACCAACATATAGCTGTAGCATTAGACTTGAAGTCACAAACATTTCTTGACCAACATATAGCTGTAACATTAGACTTGACATCACAAACATTTCTTGACCAACATATAGCCAGCTGTAACATTAGACTTGACATCACAAACATTTCTTGACTAACATACAGCTGTAGCATTAGACTTGACATCACAAACAACTTCTAAAACCAATCCTCTAAAACAATCCTCTAAAACAATCCTTTAAAACAATCCGCTAAAACAATCCTCTAAAACAATCCTCTAAAACAATCCTCTAAAACAATCCTCTAAAACAATCTTCTAAAACAATCCTCTAAAACCAATCCTCTAAAACAATCCTCTAAATTAATCCTCTAAAACAATCCTCTAAAACAATCCTCTAAAATAATCCTCTAAAACAATCCTCTAAAACAATCCTCTAAAACAATCTTCTAAACCAATCCTCTAAAACCAATCCTCTAAAACAATCCTCTAAAACCAATCCTCTAAACCATTCCTCTAAAACCAATCATCTAAAACAATCCTCTAAAACCAATCCTCTAAAACAATCCTCTAAAACCAATCCTCTAAAACCAATCCTCTAAAACAATCCTCTAAAACCAATCCTCTTGCTTGCCAGTTTTTGATGTGGATTAACCAGAACTTTCTGGTGCCAGATGAACTGACCTGCGAGGGTGACCTCCACTACACCCTGGTCAGCATGCGAGAGTCTGGCACCCTGCGACTGCGCATGTCACAGACCGGTCAAGTGGCCATCCACACGGAGGACATGAACCTAGCAGGGGACATCATCCAGTCTCTGGCACAGTTCCTCAACATTGAAGACTTGCAGACCACAGCAGACTTCCCCGTGGAGATTGAAAACCTGAAGATGGTTTTAGTTAAGGTCAGGTTGGGTTTAGTTAAGGTTGATGTTAAAAAAAGAATGGGTTGATGTTAAAACCATGGGTTGATGTTAAAACTGGGATGGGTTGATGTTAAAACCAGGATGGGTTGATGTTAAAACCAGGATGGGTTGATGTTAAAACCAGGATGGGTTGATGTTAAAACCAGGATGGGTTGATGTAGGATGGGTTGATGTTAAAACCATGGGTTGATGTTAAAACCATGGGTTGATGTTACAACAAGGATGGGTTGATGTTACAACCAGGATGGGTTGATGTTAAAACCATGGGTTGATGTTAAAACCAGGATGGGTTGATGTTAAAACCAGGATGGGTTGATGTTAAAACCAGGATGGGTTGATGTAGGATGGGTTGATGTTAAAACCATGGGTTGATGTTAAAACCATGGGTTGATGTTACAACCAGGATGGGTTGATGTTACAACCAGGATGGGTTGATGTTAAAACCAGGATGGGTTGATGTTACAACCAGAATGGGTTGATGTTAAAACCATGGGTTGATGTTAAAACCAGGATGGGTTGATGTTAAAACCAGGATGTGTTGATGTTAAAACCAGGATGGGTTGATGTAGGATGGGTTGATGTTAAAACCATGGGTTGATGTTAAAACCAGGATGTGTTGATGTTAAAACCAGGATGGGTTGATGTTAAAACCAGGATGGGTTGATGTTAAAACCATGGGTTGATGTTAAAACCATGGGTTGATGTTAAAACCAGGATGGGTTGATGTTAAAACCAGGATGGGTTGATGTTAAAACCATGGGTTGATGTTAAAACCAGGATGGGTTGATGTTAAAACCAGGATGGGTTGATGTTAAAACCAGGATGGGTTGATGTAGGATGGGTTGATGTTAAAACCATGGGTTGATGTTAAAACCATGGGTTGATGTTACAACCAGGATGGGTTGATGTTACAACCAGGATGGGTTGATGTTAAAACCAGGATGGGTTGATGTTACAACCAGAATGGGTTGATGTTAAAACCATGGGTTGATGTTAAAACCAGGATGGGTTGATGTTAAAACCAGGATGTGTTGATGTTAAAACCAGGATGGGTTGATGTAGGATGGGTTGATGTTAAAACCATGGGTTGATGTTAAAACCATGGGTTGATGTTACAACAAGGATGGGTTGATGTTACAACCAGGATGGGTTGATGTTAAAACCATGGGTTGATGTTAAAACCAGGATGGGTTGATGTTAAAACCAGGATGGGTTGATGTTAAAACCAGGATGGGTTGATGTAGGATGGGTTGATGTTAAAACCATGGGTTGATGTTAAAACCATGGGTTGATGTTACAACCAGGATGGGTTGATATTACAACCAGGATGGGTTGATGTTAAAACCAGGATGGGTTGATGTTACAACCAGAATGGGTTGATGTTAAAACCATGGGTTGATGTTAAAACCAGGATGGGTTGATGTTAAAACCAGGATGTGTTGATGTTAAAACCAGGATGGGTTGATGTAGGATGGGTTGATGTTAAAACCATGGGTTGATGTTAAAACCAGGATGTGTTGATGTTAAAACCAGGATGGGTTGATGTTAAAACCAGGATGGGTTGATGTTAAAACCATGGGTTGATGTTAAAACCATGGGTTGATGTTACAACAAGGATGGGTTGATGTTACAACCAGGATGGGTTGATGTTAAAACCATGGGTTGATGTTAAAACCAGGATGGGTTGATGTTAAAACCAGGATGGGTTGATGTTAAAACCAGGATGGGTTGATGTAGGATGGGTTGATGTTAAAACCATGGGTTGATGTTAAAACCATGGGTTGATGTTACAACCAGGATGGGTTGATGTTACAACCAGGATGGGTTGATGTTAAAACCAGGATGGGTTGATGTTACAACCAGAATGGGTTGATGTTAAAACCATGGGTTGATGTTAAAACCAGGATGGGTTGATGTTAAAACCAGGATGTGTTGATGTTAAAACCAGGATGGGTTGATGTAGGATGGGTTGATGTTAAAACCATGGGTTGATGTTAAAACCAGGATGTGTTGATGTTAAAACCAGGATGGGTTGATGTTAAAGCCAGGATGGGTTGATGTTAAAACCATGGGTTGATGTTAAAACCATGGGTTGATGTTAAAACCAGGATGGGTTGATGTTAAAACCAGGATGGGTTGATGTTAAAACCATGGGTTGATGTTAAAACCATGGGTTGATGTTAAAACCAGGATGGGTTGATGTTAAAACCAGGATGGGTTGATGTTAAAACCAGGATGGGTTGATGTTAAAACCATGGGTTGATGTTAAAACCATGGGTTGATGTTAAAACCAGGATGGGTTGATGTTAAAACCAGGATGGGTTGATGTTAAAACCATGGGTTGATGTTAAAACCATGGGTTGATGTTAAAACCATGGGTTGATGTTACAACCATGGGTTGATGTTAAAACCAGGATGGGTTGATGTTACAACCAGGATGGGTTGATGTTAAAAACATGGGTTGATGTTAAAACTGGGATGGGTTGATGTTAAAACCATGGGTTGATGTTAAAACTGGGATGGGTTGATGTTAAAACCAGGATGGGTTGATGTTACAACAAGGATGGGTTGATGTTAAAACCATGGGTTGATGTTAAAACTGGGATGGGTTGATGTTAAAACCATGGGTTGATGTTAAAACCAGGATGGGTTGATGTTACAACCAGGATGGGTTGATGTTAAAACCATGGGTTGATGTTAAAACCATGGGTTGATGTTAAAACCAGGATAGGTTGATGTTAAAACTGGGATGGGTTGATGTTAAAACCATGGGTTGATGTTAAAACTGGGATGGGTTGATGTTAAAACCATGGGTTGATGTTAAAACCAGGATGGGTTGATGTTAAAACCAGGATGGGTTGATGTTAAAACCATGGGTTGATGTTAAAACCAGGATGGGTTGATGTTAAAACCAGGATGGGTTGATGTTAAAACCATGGGTTGATGTTAAAACCATGGGTTGATGTTAAAACCAGGATGGGTTGATGTTAAAACCAGGATGGGTTGATGTTAAAACCATGGGTTGATGTTAAAACCAGGATGGGTTGATGTTAAAACCAGGATGGGTTGATGTTAAAACCATGAGTTGATGTTAAAACCAGGATGGGTTGATGTTAAAACCAGGATGGGTTGATGTTAAAACCATGGGTTGATGTTAAAACCATGGGTTGATGTTAAAACCAGGATGGGTTGATGTTAAAACCATGGGTTGATGTTAAAACCATGGGTTGATGTTACAACCAGGATGTGTTGATGTTAAAACCAGGATGTGTTGATGTTAAAACCATGGGTTGATGTTACAACCAGGATGGTTGACCTCCACAGGTGGATGAGTTCCATAAAGTCAGGACAAAGCTGACCGCTGAGATGGCTGACCACTCCAACCTGATACGTAGCATGGTGGTCAGGGCTGAAGATGCTCGTATCATGGGGGACATGTACGTACACATTTTTATATCTGGGACATGTACATACACATTTTTATATGGGGAACACGTATGTACACATTCTTATATGGGGGACATGTACGTACACATTTTATAATGGTGACATGTATGTACACATTTTATATGGGGGACACAATGTACACATTCTTATATGGGGGGCATGTATGTACACGTTTTCATATGGTGACAGGTATGTACACATTTTTATATGGGGGACACATATGTACACATTCTTATATGGGGGACATGTACATACACATTTTTATATGGGGGACATGTACATACACATTTTTATATGGGGGACATGTACATACACATTTTTATATGGGGGACACATATGTACAAATTCTTATATGGGGGACATGTACGTACACATTTTTATATGGGGGACATGTTTGTACACATTTTTATAATGGTGACATGTACATACACATTTTTATATGGGGGACACATATGTACACATTCTTATATGGGGTCATGTATGTACACGTTTTCATATGGTGACATGTACATACACATTTTTATATGTGGGACACATATGTATACATTTTTAAATGGGGGGCATGTATGTACACATTTTTATATGGGGACATGTATGCACACATTTTTATAATGGTGACATGTATGTACACATGTTTATATAGGGGACATGTATGTACACATTTTATATGGGGGACATGTACATACACATTTTTATATGGGGGACATGTACATACACTTTTATATGGGGGACATGTGCGTACACCTAATAATATAGGGGATATCTATGTATGAATTTATGTTTATGAAATATATAAAATAACTAGTATATATATATATATATATATATATATATATATATATATATATATATATATATATATATCCCTGTATGTGCAGGAAGAGTATGAGGAAAGGTTACATGGAGCTGAATGACCTCAACCGTGACCTAATTGCTGGCTACAACATCAGGTGCAACAACCACCAGGAGCTGGTCTCTTGTCTCAAGATGGTCAACCAGGTCATACAGAAGGCAGGACGCTTGAGAGGTCAGTGTTAGGTGACCTTGAGAGGTCAGTGGTAGGTGACCTTGAGAGGTCAGTGGTAGGTGACCTTGAGAGGTCAGTGTAAGTTGTAAGTTGATCTTGAGAGGTCAATGTTAGATGACCCTGATGGGTCAGTGTTAGGTGACCTTGATATGTCAGTGTTAGGTGACCTCAAGAGGTCAGTGTGAGGTGACCTTGAAAGGTCAGTTGTTTGTCGCCCTGAGAGGTCAAAGTTGTATGGTCTAGAGAAGTCAGTGTTTGTGTTAAGTCTAGATGACCTAGTGATGTTGAGTTCTAGTTGTGTCTAGATGTGCTGTTGATGTTGATGTTACCTCGTGTTCTACTCATGTTACAGTGGGCAGGTACAAGACACAAGTGATTGCCTCTTGTCGTAACGCCATCAAAAACAACAACACACCCTCGCTCTTCAAGATCATCCACACCGGTGTGGAGTGAGGATCTCACCTCAAGGTCATCATTTAGGGTGGGGGAGGGTGTGGAGGTATTTTTGTGGAAACAAGTTCTATAGTTGAGATGTTATTCTCTGAATGCTGTGAGACAGTTTATGGAAACAAGTTCTGTCGTTGAGATGTGGTTCTGTGAATGCTGTGAGACAGTTTAGAATGATTTTCTCTCACCATGTTGCTGCTGTATGATGCCACTTGTTGATTGCTCCAGATTTTTTTATCTTCAGGTTGTATGAACATTGTGTTGTTTTCTTATTGAATGCACAAAATTGTGACCTTTGAACTCCTAAATGTTCTCACCTGTTGTGTGTTGGATGGATTGTAAGACAGATTTAGTGAGTGAAAGAAACCCTTGTTTATTGTTTGTCTTTATAAAGCCTGCTGTAACCGTCCTGTTTTAGTGTATTGATTTTGGCAGTGTATGATGTACTTAATGGTGAGGTGCATCTTTGATGTGCTTCTTACTGTAGAATTTATCAACATTTTCTTCAAACACCTTTGTCACACACCTGCATCAAACACCATCACACACCTTTATCAAACACCTTTGTCACACCTGCATCAAACACCTTTGTCAAACACCATCAAACACCTGCATCAAACAACTTCATGACACACCAGCATAATTTAAAAAAAATAATTTTCAGTGTCAGGTTACTGTCTGCTAGGTCTGTCTCTCCAGTATTTGAACTGTGTGTGTGTGAATCTGATGTGTGTGTGTGTGTGTGTGCGTATGTGTGTCAGCACATCTAGTGTGTTTGTCAGTGTGTGAATATGTAAATCCAGTGTCCTGTAAACACACCACAAAGACCTACTGTAAGATCTTTGATGCCATAAGTTTGTTTTTATCCGTCCAGAATGATATATTTCGTACTGTAAGATCTGTTCATGTACACTATTTTAAGATATGTTGTATGTTTAGACTTTAAAATAAATTTTCTACTAAAACTAACATAATAATGTCATGTATGTTGTTTAGATTGCTAATGTCACATACAGTGATGTTGTACTAATGTCAGGTTACATTTTGTTGCAAATGTTAAAAGCTGGGTTAAAAATAAATAAATCTGACTACACAATTTCTTTTATCTCAGTTGAAAACAAATCTCTTCAATTGCTTTCTGGATGAACTGTTTATTCACTTTCATTATCTTTATAGCCGATTCTCTTCATGTGTTCGTTCATAGCTTTATATGTTCTGTGGTGTGTCTACACCACCATACACATATGTCGTCACACCACCATACAATGGTACACATGTGTCACCACACACCACCATACAATTGGCGTCACCACACACCACGGTACACATGTGTCACCACACACCACCGTACACATGTGTCACCACACACCACCGTACACATGTGTCACCACACACCACCGTACACATGTGTCACCACACACCACCGTACACATGTGTCACCACACACCACCGTACACATGTGTCACCACACACCACCATACAATTGGCGTCACCACACACCACCGTACACATGTGTCACCACACACCACCATACAATTGGCGTCACCACACACCACGGTACACATGTGTCACCACACACCACGGTACACATGTGTCACCACACACCACGGTACACATGTGTCACCACACACCACGGTACACATGTGTCACCACACACCACGGTACACATGTGTCACCACACACCACGGTACACATGTGTCACCACACACCACCGTACACATGTGTCACCACCCCACCAGACACAAATCATACACCCAGCAGTTCTATAAATAAATAATGTATGACTCAAGTTACAGTTATGGGAGATTATGTCAGTGATTGTGTCTGTGATTGTGTCGGAGATTGTGTCAGTGATTGTGTCGGAGATTGTGTCAGTGATTGTGTCGGAGATTGTGTCAGTGATTGTGTCGGAGATTGTGTCAGTGATTGTGTCGGAGATTGTGTCAGTGATTGTGTCAGTGATTGTGTCGGAGATTGTGTCGGTGATTGTGTCGGCAAGCACAAGGCTGCATCCATCCTTTAACATTCTCAATATTTGGTGGCACTCGCTTCTCCAAGAAACGTCCCGGGTTTTCTTGGTCCGACCACGTTTATCCCTGTCGCTTTATGTCAACAATTCAAAATTTGTCAGAAAAACACAAATTTTATTTTAAAACTCATATGTAATATATACAAATATACTCCTTTCTCTCACTATATATATATATATATATATATATATATATATATATATATATATATATATTTACATATATATATTTAAGTGTATATATACATATATATTTAAGTGTATATATACATAGTTCTACACCAGTTGAAAACAATTTTTGTGGTCGTCAGTTAACCCGACATGTCATAGTTTGACCTGACACTGACCTCAGTCCAGTAGGTCAAGGTCACCGGGCCCCGAGCCGCTTGATGGCGCTGTTGGCTCGGCTCTCAATGACGTCATCCTCCTCGTCCCCCGAGACTTGTGTGAGTGCCGGCGTCACACCCTCCGAGTAGACGCTCCCCCTCCACTCCCCCTCCAGCACCGCCGGCTCCCCCAGGCGCAAGAACCTTCTGGAAACGTCCTGGAAGACGTGCGGCCTGACGAAGCTGGGACTGAGCTCGAGGAAGCCTTCACATGACGGCGCCTGCTTGACCAGCGCCCGCTGCAGCTGGTCGAACCTGTAGTCCAGCAACGGCTGGTGCACGTTGACCGGAAGTTGCTCCGCCAGGTCGGCGCTCTCGTCGTCAATGTTAATGTACGTGACGTCACGATCCGCGTCACCTGGGTCTTCAAGCACGGCTTCCGGTTTGTTGGCTTCAACGACAGCGGAAATGACGTCAGATTCATCCATGTTTTTGGTACTGTCAGTTTGACCGCTCGCTGGGTCAACTCGACCGTTAGTTTGACCGTTGGGGAAAGTATGAAAAATTTGGGTCAGCCCTTTAGCGCTTCTCTGCTCCCGGTAGCCAACCCGACCCTGTGGCTCAATCTGACCCGGCTCCCGGCTCTGTGGCTCAGGCTCGTTGCTATGGGCAATGGAAGGCAGGCTAAAATCTCTGTCGTCACTTCCCGTGTGTGACGCGCCCTGTGACGTCGTGGCCTTTCTCGTGCTGGCCCTGTGGCCCCTGGCGAGTCCCCGCGGTCTGGTGGTCTTGTTGTTGTAGCGTATGTCCGGCAAGCGGGGGCCGGGCTGGTGGGCGCCGGGCTGGTGGGCGCCGGGCTGGTGGGCGCCGGGCTGGGCGGTCTGGTACTCCCTCTCAAAGTCCGTGTAGTCGCTGTAGTGCTGGACCTTGGTCAGCTTCTTGAGCGAGCGTTCCTTGAAGCGTTTCCTCAGCAGGAAGGATTTTCTCTGCAGCTCCAGCTCGCGTCGTACTTTCATGCTCTGGGTATCGATACCTGACAGCTGGGCATCGAGTACCTGCAAGACGACGTTACTACAATTAGACAGGGCCAGACAGGCTATGTACCATATATATATATATATATATATATATATATATATATATATATATATATATATATATATATATATATATATATATATATATATATATATATATATATATATACTAGCCGTCCCGGCCAGGCCCTGCTCTGGCTTCTGTGAAAAACCTTTCTGTTAAAGACCATTACCTGTGTGTTTAGTAATCATCTTAAACCCGGCATTGCCCACCCAAACCACAACCAACCAAAACAACAAAACGCAAACATAACGCTAACACAATTACAGATACAAAAGAAAACAAAAACCTAACAACAAACCCAACCACAACCACAAACACCAATACAAACACAAAGAAAAAACAAACAAAAAAGCAAACGAAAACAAAAACGAAAAAAGAAAGAACAAAAACGAACCAAATCAAAACGCAACCACTAACGCAAACCCACCTAAACACAAAGAAAACACTAACGCGAACATAAACGCCCGGGGCGGAATCACCTGTTTTAGCTTAATGAACGACGATAGTACCCCAACTTATTCATAGTCTTTTGCACTCACTTAAACGAACGCGCCTGTTTCAATTTGATGAACAATTATAATACTCCAAGCTTATCCGTAAAATACCTACAACATTTGCACTTGATCAATCCCCGCTAATTATGTAATTATTTTTTTCCCAACACCAAAACAAAGTAATTAAAAAGTAAATACTTTTCCACAAAATGCAATGGTTTTATAAAGGGAAGTAATTGTGTTTTCCTAATTTATCAAAGGGAAGTAAGTGCTATAGGACTAAATAAAGACATGATTAGACTTGTTGTAAAAGATGATATTTTTTTAAAACTTGTGTTGAATGAACATGCCGACAATTATTACTGTAATTTGAAAAATGAAAATGATTTCCCAACACTTTCAATAGTAATTTTTTAACTCATAAATTTAGACAAATGCGCACGCTAATTGTCTAACACTTAAATCCATCCAAGACCATCGACAAACATATGCGTTACATACAGAACTGAGCTTTATATATTAGATATATTATATATATATATAAACCTATAAAGTAAGGACCGAGAGGTGAGTGAACTTGCCGTCTGCTGAGTGACGTTATCATAGAGCAGGACGCGGGGCAGGTTGGTCTTGAGACGGACGATCTCCTTGTATTTCTTGCCGTAGTTGGGGAGGATGTTTGGTGGCCGATGCATGAAGCTCAGGTCATGGGACTGCCGCGCTGGAGAGCCTGGCCATCCAGCTGGTGACGTCATGGCTATTGACCCAGCCGCTGACACTATGGGTGACGTGGACGTCATGAGGGGTACGCTGACATTAGTGCGGCCCGGGGGTGGGGCACCTGACCTGGTAGACCAACATAAGGGGGTTAAGGCACCTGACACAGTTGTTAGGTCACGTGATGGCCGTAGTGGTTAGTTCACCTCCTGGCCGTAGTGGTTAGGTCACGTCTTGGCCGTAGTGGTTAGGTCACGTCTTGGCCGTAGTGGTTAGGTCACTGGTACGGTCACTGGTTAGGTCACTGGTTAGGTCACTGGTACGGTCACTGGTTAGGTCACTGGTTAGGTCACTGGTTAGGTCACTGGTTAGGTCACTGGTTAGGTCACTGGTTAGGTCACTGGTTAGGTCACTGGTTAGGTCACTGGTTAGGTCACTGGTTAGGTCACTGGTTAGGTCACTGGTTAGGTCACTGGTTAGGTCACTGGTTAGGTCACTGGTTAGGTCACTGGTTAGGTCACTGGTTAGGTCACCTCCTGGCTGTTGTTTTTGTAAGACCAGATATGATGGACGCGCGGGAGAGAGTGACGTCATGTTTTTATAGTATTGACGTGTTTAGTAACATCACTACACTCGGCAAGTGTGTTGTAGGTCACATTTTGATCGACTGATTTACTCGATACTGACCTCATCACCCCTTCACATGCTGATGTACAGAAATATCAGACCAAAGCTACATCTGCCCTATGGGCCGTGAGGACTGAAAGAGAACTTTATTTATCTACTATATTTGAAATGTTTAAATCCCAAGAGAACTTTATTTATCTACTATATTTGAAATGTTTAAATCCCAAGAGAACTTTATTTATCTACTATATTTGAAATGTTCAAATCCCAAGAGAACTTTTTTTATCTACTATATTTGAAATGTTTAAATCCCAAGAGAACTTTATTTATCTACTATATTTGAAATGTTTAAATCCCAAGAGAACTTTATTTATCTACTATATTTGAAATGTTCAAATCCCAAGAGAACTTTTTTTATCTACTATATTTGAAATGTTTAAATCCCAAGAGAACTTTATTTATCTACTATATTTGAAATGTTCACATCCGAAAATGGACAAGAAAATAGATTCAAACAGAAATAGACTTTTGCTATTAAAAGTTTGATTCAAACTTTAAACTTTTTAAGCCTGATGGATAAAAAGCGAATCGATTGAATCAATCAATCGCCTAATGCGGAAGTTATCGATACAAGCGCAAATTATTATTTTTTGTTTGGCTGCTGGTTGTGGCCGGTGAATGGACAAACCGCCCGGTGTGTTTGTGTTTCTGATTCTAATTTCGATAAATCAATGCAACTTTCACTTTCAGCTGGGCTGGATCGATACCGGAACATGTACGACTCCCACTTCAAAGGTTCCCGTCACCTGTGCGATACCGGGCTGGTGACAACCATTGAAAGCGGAGATTCTACAAGTAAAGCTGGCGAATTAGGTGACATCTAGCATGATGTCATGCATTCAACAAGTAAAGCAGGCGAATTAGGTGACATCTAGGCTGATGTCATGCTAGAAGACATACAGTCTGATGTCATCAAGCTTTATGTCATGATGACATAATTTACCCCCTTTGCCTGTTTCTTCACGTATAACTTCTAAATGTCACTCAGAGAATTGTTTGTCATCTGAACCCTAAAGGTGACACAGTGCAAGAAGTACAGACAATGTAAACCTAAAGGTGACACAGTGCAAGCAGTACAATGTGAACCCTAGATGTGACACAGCAGTACAGGTAATGTGTACCCTAAAGGTGACACAGTGAAAGCAGTACAATGTGAACCCTAAAGGTGACACAGTGCAAGCAGTACAATGTGAACCCTAAAGGTGACACAGTGCAAGCAGTACAATGTGAACCCTAAAGGTGACACAGCAGTACAGGCAATGTGAACCCTAAAGGTGACACAGTGAAAGCAGTACAATGTGAACCCTAAAGGTGACACAGTGCAAGCAGTACAATGTGAACCCTAAAGGTGACACAGCAGTACAGGCAATGTGAACCCTAAAGGTGACACAGTGAAAGCAGTACAATGTGAACCCTAAAGGTGACACAGTGTAAGCAGTACAATGTGAACCCTAAAGGTGACACAGCAGTACAGGCAATGTGAACCCTAAAGGTGACACAGCAGTTAGACGAGGGGCAACAACATACAAAGGTCAACAACAAACTGAGATCAACGGAAAAGGTCAACAAGAAACTGTTCTTTCCAGACTGACCCCCTCTGACAAACAAGCGACTGTACCCTGTGTGTGCGACCCTCTCATCTCAGACCCCCACACATGTGACCCCCCACACGGCACTATACGACCCAAAGTTTGACAGTACAAAATAAATGTCTGAAAAGATTTGTGTAGCAGAAGTGAGAGAAAACAGATACAGACCTGCAGTCTCAACAGCAGACGTCTGGTGCCAGACAGAGGAATCTGTGACGTGACAGGGTGCCAAGGACGAAGGCGGCACAAATCTACTGCCATATCCCCTCCAAGGGCCCATTATTTACTTATGATAAAAACTCTCCCCAACTGTCGGCAGCGCTAGGCAACGCGGATATTTGAGCCGCCCGGTA